TCATTTTTGAATTTGAGAGCATGGCAATTCGGACATTCCCTATCCATAGCACCAATTACCACTTTTGAATGAGCATAATATTCAATATCGGACTCGTACTGGAATGCTAGACGCAAAAATGAATCAGATGTAAATGCACGATGTACCTGTTGGCGTTGTTGGTCATTTCTTCTTCGTCTATTAACCGTAAAATGGCGTGATTGTCGTTGTTCTAATCGTATAACTTTATTGCGCTCAGCTCGTGTATTTTCTGATTGTTCTTGACACAATTGCTGAATGCTCTCACGTGCATCAGCTTTTTGTTACTGGACTTGTTCTTCGGTTCTTTGGGATCTTTTATCTCTCATACTTCTGGACCTACTTGTATTACGGCTCAAATCAGCCCCTTTGCGTTTTCTTGGCATTGCTTAGTCTACAAAACGCATATACATAGAATTAATGAAATGATGATATATGATGGAAAACGTTCTAATTATAATAATTACGGCCAGGATTATAGCGAAAATATTAGTTTTATGAAAAAAAAATTTGAAACAATATTTGTAAAAAATTCAAATAATTATATAAAAAAAGTATACTTACAACACAAAAGCCGTTGCTGGTTGGAGCTCGTGACATGTGTTGAGTACTTTTAAGGTTATGTAAATCACTTGTTTAAATAAAACTTAATTAACTGATCTAATCGTGCCAAATACACTTAAAATTAATAATTTTATTATTATGAATAAAATAGTAATTTCTTATTAATAGTTATTATGAGAGTTACACAGAAATAGAAAATTGATAATTGTGAACGTTACTACTACACTTAATGCATAAACAATAATCATGGATGGCCGAAAACTGTGTAGGGACTGAGAGAAGTCTTGTGTGAGTGAAACAGGAGACCGGCTTCAGTTTATGGTATAGTGTGGCATTTCACTCACCAGTAAAGGTGCTTCAAATTTGAAGAATCTAAGATTGGTAACACTAAGCATATATTAGGATTAAACTTTAATAATAAAATCAAATGTTTATTTGTTTAAAAATATTTTAGATTTTTAATCGAAGTACAGTTAAAAACACTATAATTGATCAGTTATCGAGGGAGATAAAAAATGAATAAATTACTAAAATAGCCGTAAAAAATAGGGGTTGATGATAAAAAAGTAAAAGTTTAGGGTTGTATGTATTTTTTTAATGCAACATTATAAAAAAAAACAAAAATAAAAAATTTCGTCGAAAAATTAAAAAAAAAATAAGGGTGAACCACCCTCATCACTTAGGGGTATAAAAACTAGATAGTAACCGATTCTTAGACCTATTGAATGCGCATATAAAATTTGGTAAAGATCGGTAAAGTAGTTTCGGAGGAGTAAGGAAACTAACATTGCGACAGGGAAATTTTATATATTAGATTAGACTAAAATAGCCATAAAAAATAGGGGTTGATGATAAAAAAGTAAAAGTTTAGGGTTGTATGTATTTTTTTATGCAACACTATAAAAAAATCAAAAATAAAAAGTTCGTCGAAAAATTAAAAGAAAAAAATTAAGGGTGAACAACCCTTATCATTTAGGGGTATGAAAAATAGATAGTAGCCGATTCTCAGATCTATTGACTGCGCATATAAAATTTAGTAAAGATCGGTAAAGCCGTTTCGGAGGAGTACGGTAACTAACATTGTGACAGGGAAATTTTATGTATTAGATTATTCAAGAATAATAAAGAATTCAAGGAAATGAAGATGCAGACAACGCTGCAAAAGTATCTGCATCTAGTGATAGTGAGTAGTGTTTTGAAATATTTACGAGTGCCGACGTGAAAGCTGCGGCCAAACGTAAAGTACGGTATATGTGGAAAGAAAAGTGTAAAGTGTGATCGTTAAGCTACGCAATAGAAAAAAATCGATAATACCCTTGCCCACATTACCAACAAGTCGGAGAGACCAGGTAATATTAATGCGATTCCGGCTAGGTCATACGCGATTAACTAATAGCCAAGTGTTTTCCAAAAAACAAGAACCAAAATGTGACAACTGTGAAGAAAAGCTAACAATTAAACATATATTAGAGTGTATAGAGACATATATGAATGTCCACCATTATCGCCAAAGCGCATGTTGTATAATATAACTAATAAAGTGATATTTTAGGTCTACATTTCAATATCTCAAACCCAAAATTTTTTTAGCTTCAATTAACATTCTAAACGCTATCTAACACGTTCAGTGCCACATATATTCAACGTGGATACTCGCGTCACACTGATTTAGTGGCCAAGAAAGTGTTTTTCGATAAAATGAACGAAATGAAACTGTGTCTAGATACATAAAAAATTAACTACAAATCGTTTATTGCTTTCAAAACACTAAACTAAATAATATACTTTTTTATAAAATATACAAAAACGAATAAATTAATCCTCTACATAAATAAAGAATCTTTTAGAAAATATATCAGTTTATAAAACATTTGTGAGTCTCGAAAAAAACACACTAAATATTAAACAATCATATTTTTCGCATGGGACACATTATCTAAATTTATTGTGGGTGGCTTAAGATTTTGCAGCATTTGTACCCGTCTCTTGTAATATTTTCTCATAACAGTTTACACATCGGCCTCTTTTTCTACCAGCACCTTGACTTTCTTCTTAATAGTGTTAGACTGTATTGGACACCTCTGGTTCTATAGGCTCACGTGTGTCGATCTGAGAGACAGTAATAATTCTATTATAAGATTTTCTTTGAATTTTGTAATATACATTTTTTATTTGCTACTTCTTGGTGTAATATGTATGCGCTTACCAGTGCCGTACCTATAAGGAGCTTAATTGCCAATTTACCGTACCATTTTAGGCCATTCCTGAGGGATGATGAATAGGCTTTCATTTGATCAGAAAGATCAATGAAAGCTTTAGATTTGTTAACATCGACAATTATTTTGGGCTCTTGTACTTCACCTCTTGTTTGTTGCACTGTTACAAGTTAATCATTGTGTTTAGTACTAAGAACTAGACCGTCCGTTTTATCTTTAAATTTCAGAACAACATCTGTGTTACTCTTGGCTGCGACAACTTCGTGCTTCTTTAACTTTTTCGATAAAATATCTTTGGGGTTGAGCTTTCTATTTGTACCCAGAGTTCATACTAAGTGCGTTTTCCGGTCTATGAGTGTATGAGCTACTGCAACACTCGTATAGTAACTGTCAGTATGGACTGTTCTTCCCTGACCAAGCAAATTTTTAAGTAGTGTAATTACTACTCCACTTGCCACCAATTAACCTCCTTAAATTTTTGCAGCATCACAATATACGCCAAGGTTATATGTGTATCCTTTATCGGATACACATATAACCTAAGAGAGAGCTCTAACTCTCTTGCGTTTAGGTTTTTTCACATTTTAAAAAGATGAGTAACTGTGACTGCTTTTGGAACCTTCCATGGAATAATGATCCGATAAGTATACATCTCCAAAAAGCGAATTTTCGTCGTCAGACAACATTTCTTGTAACAGTTTTTGTAATCTTTCATATTCTTGCTCGTACGCCATTTTTTATCACAAAAGCAGTAAATTATCAAGCAAACTATACTTTTTACGAAAATAACATACCGCAAGTAACGATAACGTACAACCCACTACCAAAATTTTTAAGTTGTGACTAGTTCCAGCCTGAAATAAAATGCCGGACACGTGATCTACAGTCCGCTTACAGTGTTGCCAGGATTATCGGCATTGAATACACGTGGCCACAATAATAAAATAGTCTTATTATGGCCGCGTGTATCCAATGTAGATACATACTAAAAATGACGTCATATTTGGTCAACAAACATGTTTTATATTTGTTTTCTTTATTTTCACAGCTTCGGCCTATGAAACCCTATTTTTGTGTTACCATGGTGGCACTCAATGTGCCAAACATATAAATGTAATACAAACTATTGTTCGCTACTATTGTTTCGCTAATAGTCAATTTGTCTGATGCGGTTGTATTAATAATAATAAAAAAAAACTACAACACTATCTGAAACAGACCTATTTTCGGTTTTATCATTTCTACAAAAAATTTGTAGATTATAAATATAACCTCCATCCAAGTTTGTATAACTTCACCCCAAGCGTATGTCTCTTGTTTAAACAACAGTGAGCCCTTAAATGGAACTACAATTTGTTCAATGTAGAGTTTCTCCTCCCGCACTACCACTCTTTGAAACAATTATACCAGCTTCCTCAAAAGAAGTAATAGTTTAGTTTAGAGTACAGTTGAAGTTCTTTGTCACGCTTTTCGTTGTCACTAAAGCGTAAATTGGCTAGTAATCATGCAAAACGATTAAGTGACATAAGACAGTTTATTTTGTTTTTGTAGAATGGATTTTTTGACCAATATAAACACACCTTTGATAATCTTTACAATTTCATCCACACAGAAATATCTTTAATTAAAAAAAATAAACATTTATTTCTCTAAAGCTCAAAATACGACCATCAATAAAAAATACTCTTCACAAATCATTAATTTTTTTTTCAATTATAAAAATCTAATTTTCATTGAGCACTCTTTAACACATTATACATGGAACGTGATATCATTAGAATTTCGATAAATGATAAAAGTGCAATTGGTTAAACCGAATAACCTGTCAGGCTAAAGGGTTAAAATTGTAGATATACAAAGGGCAAAACATTAATAATTTGACAATTGTTGTCAAGTTCAAGTATATTATATGAAAGGGTGGAAATATTTTTCAAGAACAACGTTTTTAAAGTACCAGTAATTCATAAAAATATGGGGAAATTATGAAATTTGGCAATATTTTATATCAACATTTAATAAAGATAGAAAGCCTAAAATTATAAAGGCTGTATTAAAAAAAATCAAACTAGATTTTGAATTCAGAAAATTCAGGAAAAGGAAAAATAATTAATATCCAGATATATATATTTTTAAGAATTTCTATTTTATTGCAAGCAGCATAAATAAGTTATTTACAAAATCTAAAATCATTTCTGCCCACAATTACCATAAGTTGTGTGAGAGAACTGGAGCATTAGCAGCGTAACCGTGATGACCATAGGCTAAAGGAGCAGCGTAACCATGAGCAACTGAACCAGCGTATCCATGAACAGCTGGTGCAGCATAAGCGGTGTTATGGACAATTGGAGTAGCATAAGCGGCATGGGCAATTGGAGCTGCATAAGCGGCATGAGCTACTGGAGAAGCGTAAGCTACTGGAGCTGCGATTTTGGCAACAACTGGAGCTACAACTTTAGCTACAACAGGAGCAACAGCGTGCACGGCAGGTTCTTTGTGTACAACAGCGTTAAATCCATTGTGTGGATCAGCAGTGTAGTCGACGGTACGTTTGGTTCCATCGGATTCCAAGAGTGAGTAGCTTCCGTGAACAACATCTCCACGACGAGATTCGTGTTGGCTCTTAGCATCTCCGGTGTGAGGGTCGCTTACTCCATATGCGAAATCGTAATGAGCTGGAGCAGAGGGTTCAGCAACGTGAGCAACGGGAGCAGCGTAAGCGTGAGCGACTGGAGCGTGAACCAAAGGAGCTGCGTAAGAATGGGCAACTGGAGCATGGACAAGGGGAGCGTGTGCAGCATAGGAGTGTACGGCTGGGGCATGGTGTTGAACAGTGGAGTAGGTGGAGATAGCATCGTGAGATCCATGAGCAACTACAGCTGGTGCGGCGTAGCCGAGACCTGAGTTCCAAGAACCAGCATGAGCTACTGCAATGAATGCTGCGAGGACTATGAACTAGAACAAAACAAAACAAAATATAAATTTTTAATTTCTTACTTAACATAAATACTGTAAACGAAATAAGCCGTAATATATTATGAAAAAATGTAAATAGTAAATGTATTCGTTTACTTATCAAAGAGTGATAAAAAACAACTTAATCAAAATTTGTAAGAACTTGTTCACAAATCAGAAAGGTTTTTTTTGGTATTTTTGTATATATTTTCCTTTTATATAAATAATTTTAAAAATAAAGCTTATATACAGTGTCTTCATAAAGTGTAAACACGGTCTATTATCTCATGACTTAATTATGTTGAGTTAAAGCTCTGACAGCACGCCAAGATGATGCAAACACTAAAAGAAGCAGGAATTAACAATCAATATCTGAAGATAATTAGAAATCTGTACTGGAATCAGACAGAAAATCTTATGAGTTGAAGGTGAACAACTGACTATGAAAATCATGCGTGAAGTGAGGCAAGGCTATATTTTGTTTCCTCTTTTCTTCAATCTCTACTCTGAAAGAATATTTATTGAAGCTTTGCACGAAACTGAAAAAGGTATTCTACAAAATGGTTACCGGCTAAACCACATCAGATATGCAGATGACACCATAATATTTGCGGACAACTTAGAAGACTTACAAGTTCTTATGAACAAAATCACGTATTACACTCAACACTATGGACTTAATGTAAACGTTAAGAAGACAAAGCTTATGATAATTAGCAAGAAAAGGATAACAGAAGGTCAACTCTACGTCAACCAATCTCCTGTAGAAAAAGAGCGCCTACACTACAACTACCTCGACACCATAATAAATGAAGAATGGACCAACAACAACAGATTAGAGCGGAAAAGCTAGATCTACCTTTAATCGGATGGGGGACTTCTTGAAGAGTCACAATCTCTCTCATAATACAAAAGTAAGAATGCTGCGATGCTACGTCTTCTCTGTTCTTTTTTATGGTGTTGAATCGTTGACCTTAAACGAAGAAATGTGCAGAAAACTGGAAGCACTTGAGATGTATATATACTATATACTATATCCGTGGACTGACCAAGTTACAAATGAGGGGGCCTCGGAAGAATTAATAAGAACCGAGAGGTACTGACTCCCTTCAAATCTCGAAAGTTACAATTCTTCGGTCATATTATGCGAAATAAATCCAGATATGCTCTCCTATAAGGAAAAATATTTAAAAAACGATATCCAGGAAGAAGAAGAAGAACATCTTAGTTAAAGAACTTTCGAATCTGGTTCAACAAAACATCTGTGAAGCTTTTTCGCTCTGCTGCAGATAAGATGAAGATTACCATGATACCATGATGATGATACCAGTACCAATAAGTAAAGCGACGGTAAGTAAAACATTTCATAAATTTAATGATGTTGACAAGAGATAAACTCAAGAGTAAAAGACCCACTGTTTCCGACGACAATCAATTAAATGTGTTACTTGAAATTGTTGGTAAGCAATTGGCAATTCTTACCAACAAAGCAGTTGGTAAGAAGAACAAAAAATGAACACTGGGAACAGTTTACAAAAAGGATGGAAAGCGACTTCTACGGTACACAAAAACAAATATGGATATTTATAAGAAACAAACGGAAAGAAATGGCAGAATTAAAGGAATACAATAACATTCCAGCAAAGGAATGGGAAAGATACCTGACAGAACTGTTTAAAGCAAAGGAAAATAATAATCAACACAATAACGTACCTCAATTAAGACATGAAATAGAAATCAGTTTTCAGGAAGTAGAAATAGCTATAAATTCGCTCAAAAATAGAAAGTCGCTAGGACCAGGCTGAATAACCAACAAGCTTCTAAAATACGGAGGAGAAAGTATAACCCTAGATATGACAAAACTTATACAAAACTAATATCGCACTGCAAAATACCAGACGCATGGAGAAACAGCATAATGATACCAATGTTTAAGAAAGGAGATAAAGAAGACCCCAACAATTATAGGGGTATAAATCTACTGAACACCGCACTTAAGCTTACCACAAAAGTCCTAACCAATAAAATCAATAAACTAACAACTTTATTAGTGAACAACAGGGATTCATATCCGGAAGATCCTGCGTAGACGCTGTATTTGTACTAAGAAAAATCACAAAAAAGGCCATCGAGTACAATAAACCAGCATATATATGTTTTATAGACCTGACAAAGGCTTTCGATCGCATTTAAGTCGAAGACGTCTTACACCTACTGTATGAAAGAAACATACCAATCAATATTATACAAACCATCGAAAACATCTACCTCCAAAATCGAATACAGGCAAAGATAAATGGTAAAATAACACAGTTAAAAATACCAGTACAAAGCGGAGTCAGACAGAGTGACTCGTTGAGCCCACTTCTCATTAATCGCCGAGACAGAAGACGAGCTTCAAAGATTAACATATATCTTCAATACATCAACTGTATGACAACATCTAAATACCCACTACGGTGTAAAATCGAAATTGATGGGAAAATAATAAAGCAGGAAGCAAGGTTTAGATATTTGGGAATAGATATAACTAGTTACGGAGATGTTGAAGAAGAAGTACGACAACAAAGCTTAAAAGCAAGTAAAGCGGCGGGTTCTCTTAATGACACAATCTGGAAGAACAAACACCTAAGACAAGACACAAAAACAAGAATCTATAAAGTAGCAATTAGACCTATATTAACATACACGGCGGAGTTAAGACCTAACACATCTAAAACGAGACGACTGCTAGAAACAACAGAGATGAAAATACTCCGACGAATATCAGGGAAAAGTCTATTGAATAGGGAAAGAAGCGAAAACATAAGAAGAGCATGCAATATAGATGACATAAATGGATGGGTAACAAAACGAAAACAGGAGTGGAACGAACATATCAATAGATTGGCAGAGGATAGAATAGTACGAGTAGCACGAGATAAGTCACCAAATGGACGAAGATGTATTGGCAGACCAAGAAAAAGATGGTGCGACAATTTATGAGGCTAAGATCGAAGAAGAAACAGGCTTTAAAGCCTATATACTAGAAGGAAGAAGAAGAAGAAGAAATTGTAGAAAATCCTCATTCTTTACTAACTTTGTAACTAACAATGAGATCTGCCCTGGTGCTGTTATATTAATAAAATTCTATAAAAGGCCAAATTACATTCATATAAAATTAAACTTATACATAAACTCAATGAAGACGACTTTGATAGACGAATGGAGTTTTGCGAAAATATAAAAGAATTGTGTAATAGAAATATATAATATCTTATTTTCCGTCGAGGCAACTTTTTCTTTAAATGGTACCTATAATAGGCAAAATTATCGTAATTGGGCAACAGAAAATCGTGGCTTGGACAATGAAAGTTTATACCCAATATCCCCAAGAAGTAAATGTATGGGCTAAGACTGTTAGAATTATCATTGTAGGACCGTATTTTTTTGACGGTACTGTGACGAGTGAAAGGTATTTAAAGATGTTTGTCTATGAATCGTGGTCAAATAGATCCAACCATTTGGTTTTAATCAGGATGGAGCAAGTTCATATTATGCTGTAGTGGTCAGAAACATTTCTAAATGCAACTTTTCCCAATCGCTGGATTGGAAGACACGGCCACATTAAATGGCCTGCTAGGATGCCACATTTGAATCCAATAGACTTTTCTATTTGAGTTTATTTTTAAAGTAAGGTATATGTAAACAGACCTACCAATTTGGTAGACTTCAAACCGAGATTTCGTACTGAAATGCAACACATTCCACCAGAGATGTTGTCCAACCTAACGCAAGAATTCATCGGCCGTCTTAGATACTTTCAATTAAAGCCACATTTGAATCCAATAGACTTTTCTATTTGAGTTTATTTGTAAAGTAAGGTATATGTAAACAGACCTACCAATTTGGTAGACCTCAAACCGAGAATTCGTACTGAAATGCAACACATTCCACCAGAGATGTTGTCAAACCTAACGCAAGAATTCATCGGACGTCTTAGATACTTTCAATTAAAGCACGAAGCTTAATTCGAACATTTATTGTAATTATGTTATTTGTTTGTCTTTTATGAAGTGACTCCTTTAATAATTTTCTTCGTAAAATTAATTTTGAAATAAATTTTAAGAAATATGACTACCGGTTTACACTCTGTATACTGAAGATTGAATGTGATGAGTTTGGTACGGTCTGACTCAGAAAAACATGAGCTTTTAATTTTATAGATAAAATTATGGCCTTTCTATTTAAAAAAAAATATCGATGACGTCACATCTGCCAAGGTAATGGGGGTAAAACTTTTTTTTCCAAAAGGTTAAAAAACAAAAATAAAAATCTACCTGTGAGCGCTTTAACTTTGAAAATAATTAAGTCGTGAGATAATAGATCGTTTCTACACTTTATGAATGCAGTGTATCAGCAAAAATACTAAAAACATAAGAAATGTCCTTAAATTATCCTGTCAAACTGTGCGTGTAACAAATAAAGTTATACTTAAAATATATAGAGCATTTTAAAAATAAACGAATGTACTTACAAACCGAAAATATTAAATATTTAATAAAATATGTAAAAGTTTTCTTATTAAAAAATATATTAGTACATTAAAAATATGTTATTAAATATGTTATTTTTCAAATAATAAAATAAGAGGCTTCACGAAACTGATCATACGAAGTAGTAAAAGAAACTGGAGAAAGAGCAAACTAATCTCGATAATAAATTCGTTGAGTATTTATAATCTGCTTTTCTTTTATAGCAACAATAATTTTAACTTTGAATGAAAATAAGTCGTTAATATATTTCCCGTATTATTCATTTAGAACTAATTTCTTCACTAACACTATGCACACAACAAAGATTGTTAAAAAACCACTAGCAATTCACTTACTTTGGCTGCCATAATGTTTGTTAGTTCGTTAACTTCACAATACATTTTTAATAAAGTTCTTTGATATTTATATGATTTTTGTTGTCTTTGTGAAGTGGTCCCACCCCGGAACCGAATTTTAAACCTTTCACAAATTAACCTAGTAGATATCAACATCCTGCAAGGTTCTTGAAGGTCGA